AATTTTTACAGTGTTTTACCGTAATTCTACCATGGAAATTAACTCAGCTCCCATTGCTTCAAACAGTTCAAGTATAAAAACTAGCGTTCATACGATATTAGTATTAGCTATAGCACACATGTGTGAGACGAAGTAACAAAGAGATCATAACTGTATCAGCAACGCCACAGTTACTGTCTTTAAATAAAGCAGCAGAACGTCAGTGTTTGTGGCTCATCATTGACTGAAGCACAGGCTCTACTCTCCAGCACAATGGAGACCCACAAAACTACATTAAACTAACAGATCTCTCTTGTGCCAAAACACAATAATACCGTTCAGTTCAATATTTACTCTCCTTATCAGTTCATGACTTTGCATAACTTTTTTTCTATGTATGTTCACAGATATTTCAGTCAAATTAACTTTTTCCATTTGGTAAATCTGACTCTTACGTTTTACAGTATATTGCTGTTTTTTTCCTGGACTTAACGGCAACAAACTGTAGAAAAACAGTTATTTACTGGCAACCGTGCTGCCAGTAAATAAATGTTTTTTTACAGTTTGTGGCCGTAAAATAATTACAGTTTATTACTGTTAAATTACATTTCATGCTGTTTTTTTCCATCTTACATATTTAAGATCCTAAAGAATCATATCAACTTGTGGAAAATGGGCATCCGATGATCGCTTTAACACTGGTTCATTCATAAAATCGTACAACCTTACCTTCTCGCTGTGGAAATACAAAAGGAACACAGAAGACGATGAGCACAACCCTGAAAAGGGGCAGAGCTGCAGGTGCATAAAAGCAGGGCAATGTACGTACACTCTTAAAAAAAAAGGTGCTTCAAAAGGTTCTTCAAGCGATGCCATAGAAGAACCATTTTTGGTTCCACAAAGAACCGTTCAGTCAAAGGTTCTTTAAAGAATCATCTCTTTCTTACCTTTTTGTAATCTGAAGAACCTTCTTTCGCCACAAAGAAACTTTTGTGAAACAGAAAGGTTCTTCAGATGTTAAAGGTTCTTTATGGAACCATTTAGACGAAAAGGTTCTTCTATGGCATCGTGAAGCACCTTTATTTTTAAGAGTGCAATTGCATGTAATTTGTTGATGTTGTGTTGGCCAGTAAACAGGAAAGCATCTTCTGAATGTCTGGTGTATATTGATTTTTTTGGTTAAGCGCATATGTACTGTGATGTCCACTAACAGCATTCTATAAACATTAACTCACAAAGCACAAAGGTGCAGGTAAAACCAGGGATGTGGAAACGAAAAGTGATGAAGGAGAAACATTTTCAATTTTATCAGCCTCTCTTCACAATATAACACTGATTAAACGTCAGTCAAGGACAATGAAGCAGATACACAAGAATAATATGAAATAAAAACAAAGATGTCATTTACTATGGTAATAATGGTTATTGACAATCTTATTCATAGAGAAAGCAATTCAATTCAAAAGCAATTTTACAGACACTCAGCATCAGAATGACTGGGAGAATCAGGGCCACTTTTAGACTTCTGCAGTCTACTGTGATTGTCACCTCAACACTGCAGACCAACAAGTGACAGACAGTGATTTAAAGACAGGTAATAGTGATCCAATTTCTCAGAAATCCCTTTTCTCTTATCAGAGAATGAGAGATCATTCCAGTTTTTCAGGCTGTGTTTTGAAGTAATCAATTCAATACAGTCCATTTTTACCACGATAGTTATTCGGCTCACCTTCAGCCCAGAACCTGAAAAAAAAGATTTTTAGTGATCAGAACACCTAATGTTTACTCAAAGTTTTCATCCATTTACCAGTTAAATGAGGAATGTCACAAGCAATTCAGTAATCAACAACACACGCAGCAGCACAATAGTTTCAAGAATAAACTGCAGAAGCAGAAGTAGAAGTGAAAATTCAAAAAAAGTATAAAAGAGGAGGATATTCTTTCAATAGAATGTATTTGTGAGAAGTGTCTTTCGTGGTTGTGCTGGTTGGGTTTCTGTAAGAGCTGTGAATTCAGCAAATCTTCTTGTTGACGGTCTTATTTTTAACATAAGAATACCAAGTCTAAAACAAATAAATCCACATCTGACAGAAATAAGGTCAATCTGGAAATACTGTTTTTGGAGTTATTTAATGAAGTTGGCAAAGGTTGAGTTTTTACTTTCAGCCAAAATTTTACATCTGAGCAACATTTGAGTCCACACCCAATTTCCAATGAAAAGTTTCCCGCTTAAATCTTAATTAGAATGTTGGGGGGAAACGTTCTAATAACGTTACCAATAAACGTTTTTAGAATGTTTTTAGAGAATGTTATCCTACCTTTTAACAGAACATTTTGGGAACTCAAATAAAACTTGCTGCTGAAAACATTCCCAGAACATATAATATTTCTGGAACATTCTTAGAACAATAACATTCCTAGCTGGGATAATTAATGACACAACAGGTGGGAACAATGAACTCATCAAGACACAGGCAAAACTAGGTCACAACAGAAAGTCAAAACACACCAACATATAATGCTTCAACAAGACCCCCATACAATCAGATAACACCAAAGTCACTTTCTTCTGAAGAAAATCCTATTAAGATATTATCCGCAACCAAAGAACAACCAAGGCATTGATTTCTTTGGTTATGGGTTAAACTCAGATGTAGGTCACAATATGGAAGAAAATATCTGTCAATTACCTAGAATCATCTTCTGTTCCTAGACATTAATGTAAATTATTATTACACCCGTTATTATCTACTCTCCTTATCAGTTCATGACTTTGCATAACTTTTTTTCTATGGATGTTCACAGATATTTCAGTCAAATTAACTTTTTCCATTTGGTAAATCTGACTCTTACGTTTTACAGTATATTGCTGTTTTTTTCCTGGACTTAACGGCAACAAACTGTAGAAAAACAGTTATTTACTGGCAACCGTGCTGCCAGTAAATAAATGTTTTTTTACAGTTTGTGGCCGTAAAATAATTACAGTTTATTACTGTTAAATTACATTTCATGCTGTTTTTTTCCATCTTACATATTTAAGATCCTAAAGAATCATATCAACTTGTGGAAAATGGGCATCCGATGATCGCTTTAACACTGGTTCATTCATAAAATCGTACAACCTTACCTTCTCGCTGTGGAAATACAAAAGGAACACAGAAGACGATGAGCACAACCCTGAAAAGGGGCAGAGCTGCAGGTGCATAAAAGCAGGGCAATGTACGTACACTCTTAAAAAAAAAGGTGCTTCAAAAGGTTCTTCAAGCGATGCCATAGAAGAACCATTTTTGGTTCCACAAAGAACCGTTCAGTCAAAGGTTCTTTAAAGAATCATCTCTTTCTTACCTTTTTGTAATCTGAAGAACCTTCTTTCGCCACAAAGAAACTTTTGTGAAACAGAAAGGTTCTTCAGATGTTAAAGGTTCTTTATGGAACCATTTAGACGAAAAGGTTCTTCTATGGCATCGTGAAGCACCTTTATTTTTAAGAGTGCAATTGCATGTAATTTGTTGATGTTGTGTTGGCCAGTAAACAGGAAAGCATCTTCTGAATGTCTGGTGTATATTGATTTTTTTGGTTAAGCGCATATGTACTGTGATGTCCACTAACAGCATTCTATAAACATTAACTCACAAAGCACAAAGGTGCAGGTAAAACCAGGGATGTGGAAACGAAAAGTGATGAAGGAGAAACATTTTCAATTTTATCAGCCTCTCTTCACAATATAACACTGATTAAACGTCAGTCAAGGACAATGAAGCAGATACACAAGAATAATATGAAATAAAAACAAAGATGTCATTTACTATGGTAATAATGGTTATTGACAATCTTATTCATAGAGAAAGCAATTCAATTCAAAAGCAATTTTACAGACACTCAGCATCAGAATGACTGGGAGAATCAGGGCCACTTTTAGACTTCTGCAGTCTACTGTGATTGTCACCTCAACACTGCAGACCAACAAGTGACAGACAGTGATTTAAAGACAGGTAATAGTGATCCAATTTCTCAGAAATCCCTTTTCTCTTATCAGAGCATGAGAGATCATTCCAGTTGTTCAGGCTGTGTTTTGAAGGAATCAATTCAATACAGTCCATTTTTACCACGATAGTTATTCGGCTCACCTTCAGCCCAGAACCTGAAAAAAAAGATTTTTAGTGATCAGAACACCTAATGTTTACTCAAAGTTTTCATCCATTTACCAGTTAAATGAGGAATGTCACAAGCAATTCAGTAATCAACAACACACGCAGCAGCACAATAGTTTCAAGAATAAACTGCAGAAGCAGAAGTAGAAGTGAAAATTCAAAAAAAGTATAAAAGAGGAGGATATTCTTTCAATAGAATGTATTTGTGAGAAGTGTCTTTCGTGGTTGTGCTGGTTGGGTTTCTGTAAGAGCTGTGAATTCAGCAAATCTTCTTGTTGACGGTCTTATTTTTAACATAAGAATACCAAGTCTAAAACAAATAAATCCACATCTGACAGAAATAAGGTCAATCTGGAAATACTGTTTTTGGAGTTATTTAATGAAGTTGGCAAAGGTTGAGTTTTTACTTTCAGCCAAAATTTTACATCTGAGCAACATTTGAGTCCACACCCAATTTCCAATGAAAAGTTTCCCGCTTAAATCTTAATTAGAATGTTGGGGGGAAACGTTCTAATAACGTTACCAATAAACGTTTTTAGAATGTTTTTAGAGAATGTTATCCTACCTTTTAACAGAACATTTTGGGAACTCAAATAAAACTTGCTGCTGAAAACATTCCCAGAACATATAATATTTCTGGAACATTCTTAGAACAATAACATTCCTAGCTGGGATAATTAATGACACAACAGGTGGGAACAATGAACTCATCAAGACACAGGCAAAACTAGGTCACAACAGAAAGTCAAAACACACCAACATATAATGCTTCAACAAGACCCCCATACAATCAGATAACACCAAAGTCACTTTCTTCTGAAGAAAATCCTATTAAGATATTATCCGCAACCAAAGAACAACCAAGGCATTGATTTCTTTGGTTATGGGTTAAACTCAGATGTAGGTCACAATATGGAAGAAAATATCTGTCAATTACCTAGAATCATCTTCTGTTCCTAGACATTAATGTAAATTATTATTACACCCGTTATTATCCCCATTCAGTTAATTGTCATCAAAAATAAAGGTCCATTTAGGCCTGCTTAGGGTGGTCTTTTGGGTGGTCACGGATTCCTCTTGTTGGATTTTGTAGCTGCAAACATATATTTATTTATTTTTTTTGCTAACATAGTTTTGTAATTCTGTACATGTGGCTGGGTCTGAAGAGAGTTTCAAACTGGAAGTCTATATCCTTATTAAAGGCCAGAGTCATATAAAATCACTTCCTTGTAAATTTAGCACTATTAGGCTATATAAAAAAAATTAGTCATCATTCTGAAAATCACAACTCATCAGTGAAGATGTACAGCAAGACACAGGAGCAAAATATGGATTTTGAGGCCATTTATGAAAGTGATGAAGACACTACTGGACCTCGAACACGGAGCTACATCCAGGTTAAAGGAAAAGCTCTACAGTGCAGTAAGTAGAAAGTTTCATTTGAAGCAGAAACAGTTTTAGTAATGTTTGAAACAAAATAATATTTTTGTCTATTTTTTTCAACTGGATTTTTCCGATAACATAATTATGCTGATATATCAAAGGATCTCAATCATTGTGATTATAAAAGAACGTAAAAAGACATGTCTGTTATCTAAAGACAAGGGTAGATTATCTAAAAAGCCTGAAGTGAAACAAAGTGTATTAACTGTAAATAATTGTGTGTTTTGGTCGTGTTCCTCAGGAGGAAGTAGATGTTTGGTGTTGATCACAGTGGGTCTCGGGCTCATTTGTGTTCTTCTGCTGGTCTTCATCATACTGCTGTACTTCACCATCACAGCAGAGAGAGACCTGATAAAGAGTTACAAGAACACAGCTGAAGAGTTCAATCAAACCATCAACAGCTTACAGGACAATTAAACTGATCTAATGACTGAAAAACACCAACTGCAGAACAACTTCAGCTCTTTGAGTCAGAAGAACCTGGAGACCAGAGTCAGAGATCTCACTGCTGAGAAAGACCAGTTACAGCGAGATTTTGACTCTTTGGGTCAGAGGAATCCGGATTTTGAAGGCAAAGTCACGACTCTGAGTGATGAACTGAAGAAGAACGTTTCTAAAGGAGGTTAGTATCAATCTGTTTTTGTATAAGTATTTCCCCCCAGAGTTTTCGTTATATTTTGAGTGTGTTTCTATTTGGAAATCAGTGTAGTCTAGATGGCTTGTTCGTTTCCAAAAAGTTGATGAGCTGGTCTGCCAGCAGGCAGTACTGCAGGGATCGTGGTGGTGATTTGGTCATTATCAAAAGTTTAGAGAAGCAGGTGAGTTTGTGTGAGTGAGTTTATGTCTGTTAATGAACAAAAGAATCACACTTACTGTATTCCTGTTTTTATTCACACACAGAGGGTCATGTCTTCACTAGTCAGACTCAGTGAGAGAGCGTGGATTGGTTTGTCTGACATAGCGACCGAGGGCAATTTGACATGGGTGGATAAATCACCACTGAATCAGGGGTAAGATCTAAAACACTCACAGAAAACCACTGCTGATTTAGTTTAGTCTTTTGTATTCTCATTATAAAAATGAGTCCATCACAACCTTCAGAAAACAGCTGAAGACATCTTTTCTAAAAACTCAATAATGGCAACAGCCACAATTAAAGAAACATCCTATAAATAAATTGTATTGGAAAACGAATCTTCTCTGTTTTAGTTTTCTGCATTTTCACTTTACTACTTTAACTTACTTTTGTGGTACTATGAATAATGTTGGCTATTTTATGATGAATTCTTTGTGACTTTTCCATTTGTTAGTTACAAATAAAGGTATCTGCTTATTTAATGGTTCCTAAATGAGAAAACTTTGGGGATGTTGTTATAGCTGAAAATGTGGGATTCTGAATCATTTAAAATTTGATCCGTGTTCAGGTTTTGGTTTGAAGGTGAGCCGAATGACGAAGATGGAAATGAGGACTGTGTTGAAATTATGGCTTTTTCTTCCACCCTGAACAACTGGAATGATCTCTCATGTTCAGCGAGGAGAAGAGGGATTTGTGAGAAATAAGGTTCATCCTGTCTTGTTTTTGTTTTACTTATATTATCTTGTGGAATTATTCTTATTGTGAGTGCAAAATTTCTGCAAAATATATAAAATGACCAGCTGATATTGAGATGATCACTATTCTCTTAATAAACAAATAAAATATCCTGTTTCTTATGATGTGAATTATGGTGATGGAACACCAATCCTCTGATGCGTTCATGTTTTGCTCCATCACAAGCAGCTCTATATTAATATGATCGTATTCTACTGTTATCATGTGTCTCGTTTGTCGGTCTGAAGTGTTGAGGTGACAATCACAGTGAACTACAGAAGTGTTCAGATTGCTGTAACCCCATATTATTCTGATATTGAGTGTCTATAAAAGGTTAATTTGTTTTTTCTTTAAATAAAATGGTAAATTACCATAGTAAACTGCTTTTCTATTTGCATTGCTCTATGGAGAGGTTTCCTCCAGTCCAGCAGGACGAAGTGATGCTAAAATGTTTTTCTACCAAGTACGATATAATTATATTATTGTTGAATATACTGCAGAAGATTGAAACATGTAAATATCTAATTTGGTAGTACTTAAATTGTTTCCAGCTATGAACATTTATGAATAATAATTAAAAAATAAATAAATAAAACTACAAGGTACACAGTAAAATCCCGAGTGTTAAATTAACACTGCTCGGAGCATATATGGTCCCACTCTAAAAGAGTGTTAAAGTAACTCTGAAGCAGTGTTAAAGTTAATGAGATTATTATGTGATTAATTAAGTGCTGATTGATCATTAGTGATGAACAGCTGCTGTTAACAAGCAGAATCACTGAAGAAAAGAGAAACACAAGAACTACAACTGACTTCAGACACAGACTTAGATGAAATAATCTGAAATAAAAGACTACATTAAATCTCACAAGATCTCAGCAGAAGATGATTAATCATCTCCACAAACAGCATCACCAAATATGGCTGTTGTATATTTCACGAGCCAGCAGATGCTATTGATACGCAGAGGCTTTAAATCTTTTACCGGTAGAATCAGGGGCACTTCAGAGCATCAGGGATCACGAGGCAGCATTTCTTCATGCTTAGGAGACATGAAAAAATAAAGAGAAAAAACAAAACGAGGGTGTGCAATTTATGAAATTGGAAGCAGCTCATGTGCAGTGTCACCACCTTTCTGCTCAGTTTTAGAAAGGTTCATACACTTGAGGGTGCTAAAGATCATTTTCACAATGGGATTAATACAGTTTAAAAGAAAATGTGTACACCTGTGGGAACTGATACCTATTCCAGCATAAACTGTTTATTTCTCAGTTCAGTTTTAACTAAGAGATAAACACCGAGGGAAAAGCAGAAATACAGATGTGTCGAAGGCTGAGTATTTTTTGTCAAGTGATGGAAATGGAGATGTTGAACATAACGGCAAAGGAGCTGAGGAAGGTCTGCATACAGATGAAGATATTTAACCCTCTGATGTTGTTCTGTCGTTTTTAGAAAAATGAAAAAAAAAAATGTTTTCGAAATTTTTAAAAACGCTACTTCATTGGAATGGTACGAAACTTGATGACTTTATGGCAGTCGCTATATGAAAAAAAATTTGACTTGATTCGAAAAAGCTAAATGGTCATAAAAAAAATAGTCACACTTGTTGCAGTCAAAAATGACCGCCATTGGAAATGAATGGGAAATACTCCAAAATACGAAAATACAGATAATTAAGGGGCGACACTCTGAATTATCAAGAGTGCAAAATAGACACACATATGTGAGCACAACTAGTGTGATTGTAACACAAACCAAGTTTCTGCAAATGTGTGAAATAAAAATCAATAATTCAGCCACAATATAGTAAAAACACAGACACCAAGGAAGGGGTTACACTCAAAACATCAAGAGTACAAAACAGACACACTCAAATACACACTCAATTACAATCACACTCACAGACACACACACACACACTCACAAAACACACTATTATACATACACAAATGAACTGGTGTGGTTGTAACAATATGGCAAAATTGAGCCCAGAAGACTCCAATAAGAGGCTGAAATCAGATTGATTAATCTCAGATAAAGCATTCCTGTTCATTTTTTTTTACATTTTTGTTGAATTTTAATGTTATTTGTAATAAAATGTCTTTCCATGTGTTCAGGTTTGACTGTAGTCAAATTAACGCAAAAACTGACATTTCACATCAGCATTTCAATAAATAAATAAATAATCTAAACATTTGCAAAAGGTTGTCTTTGAGAATGTTTAAATATATATCCAAATCCACAACTTAAAGAGATAGTTCACCCAAAAATGAAAATTCTGTCATTAATTACTCACCCTCATGATGTTCCAAACCCGTAAGACCTCCGTTCATCTTCAAAACACAAATTAAGATATTTTTGATGGAATCGGAGAGCTCTCTAACCCTCCCATTGACAGCAAGGATCCTAACACGATCAAGGTCCAGAAACATAGCAAGGAGATCGGTAAAATAGTCCATGTGACATCAAGGGTTCAACTGTAATTTTCAGAAGCTACGAGAATACTTTTTGTGTGCAAAAGAAAAAAAAAACAACTTTATTCAAATTTGTCTCCTCCGCGTCACCCTAGCGCCATTTTGGAGAATATCCACTGAAAGTAAATGGCATATGCTGTTCTGCGTCAGCCGCACCACACGGATATGTTTTCTACTTTGTACATACGCTTTGATTTGAATGAAAACAACGTATCCACGTGGTGTGGCTGACACAGAACAGCATACACCATTTACGTTCAGTGGATACTCTCCAAAATGGTGCTAGGGTGATGCGGAGAAGACAAATTGTTGAATAAAGAGTAAAAGTGTGCAAAAAAGTATTCTCGTAACTTCATAAAATTACAATCGAATCCCTGATGTCACAAGGATTACTTTACCGATGTCCTAAAAAAAATAAAAATCTTCATTTGTGTTCCGGAGATGAACGGAGGTCTTACGGGTTTGGAACGACATGAGGGTGAGTAATTAACGACAGAATTTTCATTTTTGGGTGAACGAACCCTTTAAAAAAATATGTAGGAATCTAGTGGCTAAACCATGAAATTGAAGATGTTTTTCTTTTTTTTACTCCCACCAGATGGCACTAATCTGCCTTCAAAAATTGGATTTTAAAGGCAATATGGGCCTCATTCTTGAAACACGAGCATAATGAATTTTAGTGTAAATTGTTCATAAAGCTGTTCTGACGTAAATTTTCGGATTCATGAAAGTGTTCTTATTTTCAAAATGTTTGAAAACATTTTGCTCCTTACCACGTGTAAATGGTGCGTAAAACGTTCTGTGTTCTTTTTGGCAAACTGATGACACTGAACTTTGATGCACTGCCATTATAATATTTTACAAGTTTGTTTGCTCTGCTTTTTTTTGTAGCTGAGAGTTGATAAACTGTTTAGCTTTGGGTAAAACGCAGTGCTTGTCAGTCACTTTTTTCACAACCGTCCAATCAGTGGAGGAGGGGCGGGATAAATACTACACTGACCAATCATCCTACTTGTACAACAACTGAACAACAACAGAGAAGTTAATATGGCTGGTTACTGTATTTTTATATTCAGTAATATTCTTCAAAATGAAATATTAGTAATACGTTGCTGCCATGGATATTCCTAATCATAACAACCGAAGCATCTCAGTTGGAAAAACACTGTGCCACCAGAGTGTTCTCAAGCGCCACCAGCTAGCCATTTTCAGAAGAGCGTTTGACATTTTTCAGCTAGCTACTCTTTGGTGGACACACGTTATTGAATATTTATTGATTGGCATATGGCCTATTAGTTTTTGCATTAATGCAATATACTGGAGCCAAACCTGAGAAAGTAGACCAGAATATTCCACTGCGTTCCTGGACACGCTATTTGCGTAGCTGTAATTCATAGGCAGGGATTATGCTTGTTGTGAATGAGTGTGCACACACGCCCTATTTACGAATGATTGGAATTAATTAACATACACATGTTTAACTATCAAATCGGAAGTTTACAAATCGTTTGTGAATCCGGAGGAGAGTTTTCGTGAAGGTCCGTTTTATGCGCAAACTACTTCGAATTTACTCCTATATTTACGAATGTTTCATGAATGAGGCCCATTGTCTCTATTTTAACATGAAATACTGCTGTAATTGAAAAGTAATAGAAAAATATTAGAATTTATTTTTTTTGTTTCAATGGGAAAAAGTGATCATAATTATTGCATAAATATTAATTAGTACCATGAATTTTACTCAAAATAAAAAAGAAAAATTATTATTGAACAAAAATATATTACATTGATTTTAATGAAAATAAATAAAAAAAAGTTACATTTCAGTTGTCCGGTCACTTTTGACCATGAACAACACAAGTGTCACGCTTAGGTCGAGGAAAGGTGCACGAAGACGAAGATAATCTCACTAATATTTAATAGTAATCCAAGATGATGAAGACAGGCTCACAACAGCAGTAACATAAACAATAACCGACCCCGTACTGAACAAAGGAGTGAGCTTAAATGAGGCAACTAATGAGGGCAACACAGGTGCAGGAGGTTAACTGATAACGAACTAAACAATATAATGACCTAATGAACCAAACTAGGACAGGAACAAAACCAAATAAGGGAAGTCCATAATCGTGACAAATCAACAATACCAGAGGGTTAAAATAGGACATTTCAACTCCACCGCTTTTAATCAGAAGACACTGTTGGACATCAGATTTTGTTTTCAAATCTGGAAAGAACGTTAGTGTTACGGATGGAACGAGACGGGAGGCGTGCGGATCCATGGAAAGACAGACCATGCTTCCTAAAAATAGAACCCAATGGGAGCATGTATTGTTTTTTCGTTGTACATGCTCCCACTGGGTTCTATTTTTAGGAAGCATGGTCTGTCTTTCCATTGCTATGCAGATGACACTCAAACCTATCTGCCCTTAAAACAGAGTTAAAATGAACTGAAGCACTTATGTCTTGCCTGTCTGATGTGAAAGCCTGGTTGTCTTTAAATGTTCTTAATTTCAATGAGAGTAAAACCTATTTTGTCTAGTAAAAACTTTGAAACAGTAATTCATGCTTTTATTACATCTAGATTAGACTAATGCAACTCGCTGTGTTTTGGGATTGGTCAGTCAGCCCTATCCCGCTTGCAGATAGTTCAAAATGCAGCTGCAAGGCTTTTAATGAGTACCAAAAAACGTGATCATGTTACACCAGTTTTACATTCTCTGCACTGGTTGCCTGTGCGCTATCGAGTTCATTTTAAAATTATTCTCTTAGTGTTTAAATCATTAAATGGTTTAGCCCCTGCTTATTTGTCTGATTTATTGACTGAACATCGGCCCCTCTTGTCTCTCCGGTCGTCCAACCAGAGATTATTATGCATCCCAAAGTTGACGCTTAAATGCAGGGGTGACCTCGCTTTCTCAGTTGCTGCCCCTAGATTGTGGAATGCTCTGCCCCTCTGTATTAGATCTGCACCTTCACTATCTGTTTGTAAATCCATGTTGAAAACCTACCTTTTTGACTTGGCGTTTTATCAATGAGAACTTTCTACTGAACTGCTTCTTTTAGTAATTATTTTGTATTGTCTTATTGAAATGTTTTTATTGTGCAGCACACTGGTCAACCCACGGTTGTGTTTTATAGTGCTATATAAATAAAATTGACATTGACATATGCAAAGCTTTATTTAAAGACGTGGTCATAAAACAGGCAAGGGTCAGACAATGGCACAAAGGTATATTGAGGGCAAAACAAAAGAGTAAAGTAGGCGTGGGTCAATCAACGGTGAACGTAATCCAAAGGGCGAGGCAAACGGGTAATCCAACAAACAGGCAATTGTCCAGGCGAGGTACAAACAAAGTCCAAAACGGCAAGACAAAGGGTAATCGAAGGCAGGCAATGACTCCAGGACAGACAGAGATCAGACACGGGTTAAATAGGCAATAAACAGGACAGGACTAGACTTAGAAAATGCGTAATGGCTCCGTAATCTATCGGGGAGAATTGTGTGGCTGCCGGCTGGTTGTTGCCATCTACCTTCGTTAGATTTTACAATTTGGGTGTCCCTGCCCTGCAGATGCGGATCTTTTCTGCTTGAACTACCCATTCCCCCTTTGGGTGGAAGGGCCATCTTAAGTATACCTCAGGTTATTACTCGGGTCTCTTCTGTGGCTTAGGCTTATGGGGCCCTCTAGTGAATGCTCTTGAGTCGGGCTTGTAGAGCAGGCTTAGTTCTGCTTCTGCTCATCGCATGGCACTGCTGGATGCGTTCCCCATAGCGTCAATAAAGCTGACACAATGGGAGTTCCTGTTCAATAGGGAACACTCTGGTTACTAATGTAATCTTGGTTCCCTGAGATAAGGGAACAAACGTTGCATGACGTGCAGTGCCATGCTATAAGCTGCACATGAATCATTGCCTGTCTCAACAGTTAAATGATTCTGACGAAATGAAGTTCCGGGCCGACTTATATAGCAGTCAGCTCCGCCCATTCTGTAGGGCTCAAGTGCCATTGGTTTGTGCAACTACACAAACGTTAACAAATCAGACTTCAGTATAAACAGGAGTTTCCCCATAGCGTCAATAAAGCTGACACAACAGTAGTTCCAGTAGTAGTCCAGTGGGATCTCTATCGGGGAGAATTGTGTGGCTGCCGGCTGGTTGTTGCCATCTACCTTCGTTAGATTTTACAATTTGGGTGTCCCTGCCCTGTAGATGCGGATCTTTTCTGCTTGAACTACCCATTCCCCCTTTGGGTGGAAGGGCCATTTTAAGTATACCTCAGGTTATTACTCGGGTCTCTTCTGTGGCTTAGGCTTATGGGGCCCTCTAGTGAATGCTCTTGAGTCAGGCTTGTAGAGCAGGCTTAGTTCTGCTTCTGCTCATCGCATGGCACTGCTGCATGCGTTCCCCATAGCGTCAATAAAGCTGACACAATGGGAGTTCCTGTTCAATAGGGAACACTCTGGTTACTAATGTAATCTTGGTTCCCTGAGATAAGGGATGCCATGCTATAAGCTGCACATGAATCATTGCCTGTCTCAACAGTTAAATGATTCTGATGAAATGAAGTTCCGGGCCGACTTATATAGCAGTCAGCTCCGCCCATTCTGTAGGGCTCAAGTGCCATTGGTTTGTGCAACTACACAAACATTAACAAATCAGACTTCAGTATAAACAGGAGTTTCCCCATAGCGTCAATAAAGCTGACACAACAGTAGTTCCTGTTCAATATGGAACATCTACTTCCTACTTCTTCCAGGACCAAAAACACACAAATATCAACTAATACCCATCCTGCTGGAAATCTCTCCATAAAGCAACAAAGCAGATACACAATAAATTAAACCAAAAATGCTGTGATTATACTGTCAATTGACCATTTTATTAAAACAGAAAGCAATTAAAATCCGAAGCAGTTTCACAGACACTCAATATTAAGAGTAAAAGTGTGAATTGTTGCAGTCTGGGGCACATTAAACTTCTGTAGTTTACTGTGATTGTCACCCCTACACTTCAGACTGACAAATGAGAAACATGATAACAATAGAATACGGTCATACTAACATAGAGCTGCTATAATGGAGCAAGACATTTACACATCAGAGGTTAAGTGAGCAGCATTACCCTTTTACATTAAAGCACTTTTAAAAGCATGTAAAAGCAAGACAAGGATGAATCCTATTTCTCGCAAATCCCTTTTTTCTTCTCAGAGCATGAGCGATCATTCCAGTTTTCCAGGATGAGATCTGAAGGCATCAGTTCAATACAGTCCTCATCTCTAGCTTGATAGTTATTCGGCTCACCTCTGGCCCAAAACCTGAATAAAAATGTGCCAGATTTTTAATGATTCAGAACCCCTAAAGTTTGCTCAAAGCTTTCATCTCTTTAGTAACTGAATGAGGAATGTCACAACCAAATCAGTAATCAACAACACTCGCAGCAGCACAATAGTTTAAAAAGTAAATGAAAATACTGCAGAAGCAGAAGTGAAAATTTAAGAGAGGAGGAGAATATTCTTTAAATAGAATGTATTTGTGAGAATTGCCTTTCATGGCCATACTGGTTGTGTTTGTGTAAGAGCTGTGAATTCAGCAAATCTTCTCGTTGATGGTCTTATTTTTCTAATAAGAATAAAAACTAAAATAAATAAATTCACAGTGGTTTTCTGTGAGTGTTTTAGTACTTACCCTCTATTTAGTGGTGACTTATCCACCCATTTCATGATGCCCTCATTCTCTGTGTCAGACAAACCAATCCACACGCTCTCCTTGATGAATGAAGATATATGTCTCTGTGTGTAAATACAAGCAGGAATGAGTGTGATTCCTTTCATGCAGTTATACACTGTAAAAAAATTGTGCCTTTAAATAACAGTAATTTACTGGTAGCAGGGTTGCCAGTAAGGTACTGTTAATTTACGGCTTTCAACCGTTAATTTACAACTCTAAATTTTTACAGTAATTCTACCATGGAAATTAACTCTGCTCCCATTGCTTCAAACTGTTCGAGTTTAAAAACTAGCGTTCATACGATATTAGTACTCTGAACTTATTTAATTTGAGTCCACTGAGAAGGAATATTTCTTAGTATAAAACTGCAAACACTTAATGTGTAACAACAAAATAACTAAAAACATGACTTTAACTCAAATCATTGCAGTTCACTGTTAGCTACAACACACATGTGTGAGACGAAGTAACAAAGAGATCATAACTGTATCAGCAACTCCACAGTTACTGGCTTTAGATAAAGCAGCAGAACATCAGTGTTTGTGGCTCATCATTGTTATACACTGTAAAAAAATTGTGCCTTTAAATAACAGTAATTTACTGGTAGCAGGGTTGCCAGTAAGGTACTGTTAATTTACGGCTTTCAACCGTTAATTTACAACTCTAAATTTTTACAGTAATTCTACCATGGAAATTAACTCTGCTCCCATTGCTTCAAACTGTTCGAGTTTAAAAACTAGCGTTCATACGATATTAGTACTCTGAACTTATTTCATTTGAGTCCACTGAGAAGGAATATTTCTTAGTATAACTGCAAACACTTAACGTGTAACAGCAAAATAACTAAAAACATGACTTTAACTCAAATCATTGCAGTTCACTGTTAGCTATAGCACACATGTGTGAGACGAAATAACAAAGAGATCATTACTGTATCAGCAACTCCACAGTTACTGGCTTTAGATAAAGCAGCAGAACGTCAGTGTTTGTGGCTCATCATTGACTGAAGCACAGACTCTACTCTCCAGCACAATGGAGACCCACAAAACTACATTAAACTAACAGATCTCTCTTGTGCAAGAACACAATAATACAGTTCAGTTCAATATTTACTATCCTTATCAGTTCATGACTTTGCATAACTTTTTTTCTATGTATGTTCACAGATATTTCAGTCAAATTAACTTTTTTAATTTGGTAAACCTGATTCTTACGTTTTACAGTATATTGCTGTTTTTTTCCTGGACTTAACGGCAACAAACTGTAGAAAAACAGTTATTTACTGGCAACTGTGCTGCCAGTAAATACATGTTTTTTTTTACAGTTTGTGGCCGTAAAATAATTACAGTTTATTACTGTTAAATTACATGTCATGCTGTTTTTTTCCATCTTACATACACTGTAAAAAATTGCTGTAAAAAAACGGCCATATTCTGACAGTAACGTCCTGTTTTTTCATTGCAACAGTACAATCCCGTAAAAAAACAACGTATTCTGGGTAATTTTTGTTATTTTCGAGAAAGTATCCTTCTGCAGTCCTTGTAGTAACAGCCTTCAGATTCGACACTCAGAGACTGTTTCAAATCACACCCTACACCCTCATTCACTATTCCCTACATGAGTTTACTAATACAGTCCACCTGACAGAGAGAATGAACACTAATGAGTGAATTCAGACACTGATGAACAGCTGCTGTTAACAAGCAGAATCACTGAAGAAAAGAGAAATACAAGAACTACAACTGACTTCAGCCACAGACTTAGATGAAATCAACTGAAATAAGACAGCAGAACGTGATCAAACAACTCCACACACAGCATTACAGTTTGACTTTATTTCTGGCATATATCTACACAAATGATTTGAGAATAAACAGAGGTTTAGATGTTTTATTGAACACGTTGTGTTCACCTCACCATCGAGGCGATCAGTGTTTGCTTTAGTTGGGCTCTTGACCCTTCACTTTATAATGCTGGCTTGTCTGGTTGTTGTAACTGTGTTTGTAAAGCACATTTGTTATAACAATAAAAGCGTAGAAAAATTATTGTTGATGGTGGTGCTAGAATTATTTCATGGCCTGATTCACTGATCTCATTCAGTGGCTGATTTGTATATCTATAGTGTGGGTAATCATTTGGTTCATTTAATTTTAGATAGCTATATGACACAGCAAGCTCAGATTATGAAAGACAATTTAGATGGGTTTTGAAAACTTCAAAAGGTTTAAAATCTACGACAACACCAAGACACACAGAGACATCAAGAATCAGCACATGAATCTCAACAATGGTGACAATCAAAAGCTTCATGCTGCAATGCATGCTGGGTACCAGCACAGCACAAAACTCATCAATGACTCCCAGCATGCATTGCGGCATGAATAAACTATGCAGCTGAATTGTCCACTAATTTTCTTTAATTCTTACTAGGTGCTTTTATATTTGCTTTTGTTTTTGTGTTGAGTTTTAGTAGCGTGTTTTGTCATGTTCAGAGTCTATCTTTTTATTAATTTTTGGATTGTCACCGTTGTTGAGATTCATACGCTGATTCTTCATATATGTTTCATAAAATGGCAAAGCTTTCTTTTTTTGAGTGATGTGTGTGATCTTTCATAATAGCCTGCTTATTCTTTAGCTGTAATATGTTACTATAACATGGCTTTGGTACAAAAAGAGACTTGGACTAAATCAGTAAACCGTACTTTTAAAGAGAGCATTATAATTTACAATTCACAATCATCAGCATTATATATTGTGCTCTGGTGCTTTTTTACCACAACAAATGAGTTGAAAAACACAATGGTGAAAGCAAGTTAAAAAAATGAATGTTAATAAATCAAGGTTCAAGATCCCAACTAAAGCAAACACTGATCTCCATCATGGTAGTGTCCCAAAACAACAACATCTAAACATCTATTAATTTTCAGTGAGCACTTCTGTACACATCTGACAGAAATAGCACCAGTCTGGTTAGTAATGTGAAGCTGGTGATGCTGTTTGTGGAGTTGTTTAACCCTTTAAACCCCACAACAAAATCCTCAGTTTTAAATGAACACTTATAATGTGTCCACACTACAGAGTGAAGCAGTGCTGAAGTTAATGAGAGAATTCTGTGATTAATTAAGTGCTGATTGATCATTAGTGATGAACAGCTGCTGTTAACAAGCAGAATCACTGAAGAAAAGAGAAACACAAGAACTACAACTGACTTCAGCCACAGACTTAGATGAAATCAACTGAAATAAAACATCTAAACTTCTGTTTATTCTCAAATAATTTTTGTAGATATATGACAGAAATAAAGTCAAACTGTAATGCTGTGTGTGGAGTTGTTTGATCGTGTTCTGCTGTGTTATTTCAGTTGATTTCATCTAAGTCTGTGTCTGAAGTCAGTTGTAGTTCTTGTATTTCTCTTTTCTTCAGTGATTCTGCTTGTTAACAGCAGCTGTTCATCAGTGTCTGAATTCACTCATTAGTGTTCATTCTCTCTGTCAGGTGGACTGTATTAGTAAACTCATGTAGGGAATAGTGAATGAGGGTGTAGGGTGTGATTTGAAACAGTCTCTGAGTGTCGAATCTGAAGGCTGTTACTACAAGGACTGCAGAAGGCTACTTTCTCGAAAATAACAAATATTACCCAGAATACGTTGTTTTTTTACGGGATTGTACTGTTGCAATGAAAAAACAGGATGTTACTGTCAGAATATGACCTTTTTTTTACAGCAATTCTTTACAGTGTAGACACAAAAACTCACCTGCTTCTCTTCAGTGTTGATAATGATCAGATCAGCTCCATGATCCCTGCAGTACTGCCTGCTGTCAGACCAGCTCTTCAACTCACTGGACATGAACAAGCCATCTGGACCCCACAGATATCCTGAGAGAAACACAAACTTTTAAAGCTGGAGTAGGCAGTTTCTGCACTACTAGTGTCACATAGTGGAAATACAAAAATAAAGCATTTTTCAAACAACCTTTGCAAACACCCCTTTCGTGCATCACACCTTCCCCAAATGTGAACAGGAGTCATCATTCGTCATGCGCACTCTGAATGGTCTGCAGTGTGTGTATATACAGTACACACACACACACACACACACACACACACACACTCACTGTACATATGAACCACTTTCATTATTTACTGCTATCAGGCTGTGAAAAGACTCTCAACCAGTATAACAAACAATGTTTATGACAAACGTTGCCTACCCTAGCTTTGAAATTGTATATATAAAAGATTTTTAAAAAGGGAAATTTTTAATATTTCCACAAAAAATTATTTGTACTAACCTCGCTTAAAAGCGGTCTGAAAATGCTGCAGTATGATGCCAGCAATCAGAAGAAGACAAATGATCCCAAGACACACAATGATCGGCACCAAAAATCGCCTTCCTCCTGTTAGACAGGAAGAATAGACAGAAAATATTGATTAATAATTGCTGTACAGTGTTGGTGTCAATAGCCTCGCGGTTAGTGCGCCAACATATAGCACAACTGCGCTCATGGCGACCCAAGTTCAAATCCTGGCTCATGGTCCTTTGCTGATCCCGCTCCCCTCTCTCTTCACCCAATGCTTTCCTGTCTACTCTACACTGTACTTTCCAAATAAAGGCATAAAAAGCCTATAAATAAATCTTTAAAAAAAAATGTATTACCGTACAGTAAAATACGCACACAAGAAAATAGGCTGCGAAAGTAAATTATAATGTTGTTCTTAGAAAACGACTGACATTCTAACAGTTCTCACTTCCTGAAAGCTTACTGATATCAGCAAAGGTTCTGCTTACTGTGATTGCGAACTCTTCCTTCATCTTGGCAGTGTGTTTGAGGTCCAGTTGTCTCCCAAAAATTTCTGTGTTCAGCATTTTCATAAGAGTACTCCAATTCCATTTTTGGTTCTTGTGTCTTGCAGTATGTCTTTACAGATGAGCTGTGGTCTTTCAAATGATGATTTTTTTAGATCAATAAATTTACACTAAATTTATACAGGAGGAAGTGATTTCATTTGACACAGACCGCCAATGTAAATATAGACGTTAAGTCTGACACTTAACTCAGACTTGTTTTCGAAGCTGTATCACTGTAGCATTATGACTTTAGAGCTAACAGACCAACTAAGGTAAACAGTAATCCCCATTATGGTGACTTCAAATAAAAAAATAAATAAATTTAAACCCCTGTTAATTCTCAATAAGAACTTCTGTAGACCTCTATTTGTGTATTGTATTGTACATACATGTACATTCAACCACATGTTGTCTACTAAAAAAAGTCAAGAAGAAACATCTGAGACTTATGGACTCAAACACTGTTATAGACCTTATGCATCAGAGAAACAAGTTCACAGCCATCTTTAGAATTTTTACTTTTAACTTCCGTTTTTTTGCAGTAGCTCTATCCAAGTATGCTGTTTTCCGTGAATGTGTGATACGTCCGGTTCATTAGCCACTGTAGGGAATAATGAAGAATAACAAAGTGCAATAAGGTAAAACTGTTGGCACTACAACATAATTAAGATAATTATTATAATCAACAACACTTGCAGCAGCACAACAGTTTCAATAGTAAACTTAAGAAAGCAGAAGTGAAAATTTAAGAGAGGAGGAGAATATTCTTTTAATAAAATGTATTTTTGAGAAGTGTCTTTCGTGGTTGTGCTGGTTGTGTTTGAAAATTTAAGAGAGGAGGAGAATATTCTTTAAATAGAATGTATTTGTGAGAATTGCCTTTCATGGCCATACTGGTTGTGTTTGTGTAAGAACGGTGTATTCAGCAAATCTTCTCATTGATGGAATTATTTTAAAAATAAAAATAAAAAGACTAAAACAAATAAATCCTCAGTGGTTTTCTGTGAGTGTTTTAGCACTTACCCTTGATTCATTGGTGAATTATCCACCCATTTCATGTTGCCCTCATTCTCTGTGTCAGACAAACCAACCCACACGCTCTCCTTGACCAATGACGATATGTGTCTCTGTGTGAATAAAAACAAGAATAGGTGTGATTCATTTCATTCATTAGCAGACACTCACACAAACCCACCTGCTTCTCTTCAGTGTTGATAATGATCAGATCAGCTCCATGATCCCTGCAGTACTGTCTGCTGTCAGACCAGCTCTTCAACTCACTGGACATGAACAAGCCATCTGGACCCCACAGATATCCTGAGAGAAACACAGACTTTTAAAAAAATACATACATACATAAAAAACCTCATAACCTTATAGCGCCCTCAATGTGTGCTCATACTAATGTGAGGTCAAAGTGCACTCACTGCACAGAGACTAGGTACCCAGCATGCATTGCAGCATGAAGCTTTTGATTGTCACCATTGTTGAGATTCATACACTGATTCTTGATGCTTCTCTTAAATGTTTTTAAAATGACACAACAGTTCAAAATGTGTGTGATTCATAGTGCTTTTGATGTGTGTCATGAACTATTACACTGTTGGATGTTATACTGTATAATCAAAGTGCTATTAAAATGAGGAACTTTAGATTAATAAGGCATACTGAATCTGGGTCAAAATTGTGTTGGTGGCATCAATAGCAAACTGATATCACTTGGTTGCAGTCTCTATTTGGTATTCCTTGCTATAAAAAATGTGCTAGACAAACACAGTTACTACAGCCCCAAAAAATATAATGTTCTAAAGTCATTAACACTAATCGTCTTGATGGTAACATCTAATGAAACAATAAAACATCATCATCTAAATCTCTGTTAATTCTCAATAAGCGCTTTTGTAGATGTCTGACAGAAATGAAGTCAGTCTGGTTAATAATGAGTGAAGCTGGTGATGCTGTTTGTGGAGTTGTTTAATCATTCTGTGCTGAGATCACCAAAGATTTAATGTCTTTTGTGTTTCAGTTGATTTCATCGAAGGCTGTGTCTGGAAGTCAGTTGTATGTTTGGAGAAGGTTCTTATAACAAAGTACTGTTAGCTGAGTGTGCACTCATGAGCTCAGCATGTGAGAGCACTGTGATATCACTGTGATAGTGTTGAGAAACAGGATATAGAAATCCTCCTCGGTGACTGATATTTGAACTGCCTCCTCTCAACCTGCTCAACATTTTGAATTCACAATGAGCTCACATATTACCAGAGTTGGGACTTTCAAGTCACAAGCAAGTCTTCAAGTCATATCCCAAGTCCTCAAAGAGTTAAAGTTAATGAGATAATTAAGTGACTAATTAAATGATGATTGTGCATTAGTGATGAACAGCTGCTGTTATTGAGAATTACAGAGGATCAGATGTTGATGTTTTATTGGTTGAAATGATGGCACCATCATGGAGATCAGTGTTTGCTTTAGTTGTGCTCTTGACCCTTAATTCCTGAATTAAATTGCTTTCTGTCGTACTGCATGAAGAACTATGAAACAGTATGAACAGTGCTATGCACTGAACAGCTATTAGCTGTTTATATGTGGCCGGCTTGACGTCCTTCTAATATACTAAGGAAAA